CTGAGAAGCTAGTACGCGGGGTGTACCTATGGTGTACGCTTAGCATACTAGTGCGTAAGAGTCGTGGGTCAGTAGCCTCGTACGTTGGGCGTATGAGGAGTACGCTGGGTGTACGAGGGGGAGGATGGAAAACCCTAATTTTCGTGTTTGTACCCTATATAAACTTTATGTTAACCTCTTTTGATCAATTCTTAGCCAGCCTCCATACTCTAAAAACCCTAATTCGACCTTTATCCCTTGTTTGGTGATCTTGAAGCTTTTGTGAGGTTTTGTGAAGGGTTTTGTGGATCTAGAAGAAGAAGGAGGAACTTGAAGACTTGTTCTTTGAAGGAAAGCTTTGAGATCCATCATTAGCATCTCCCTTTGGTGGCTAGGGAGGTATAAAGTCCAAACCTTGCTCTTTCATTTCATGGATCTTCTTCTTAGCTCATTTTGGTCATTTTGCACCCTTTTGGTTGATGATTGGGAGTTAAAGTGGTTTTGAAGCTTCTAAATTGTAGATCTGGATATATGATGGGTTCCTTGGGCATAAAGGTGCAAAATTTATGGTGGTTTTGGTTCCATGCATGTATTAAGTCAAGTATTAAGCTCCTTTGAGCTCTAGAGTCCCATTTAGCCATGCATGCACATAAATTTGGCAACTTTATGTGATTAACCACCTTGGGGAAGTCAGATCTGAGTTTGGATCCAAGTCTTAATGGATTAAGTGATGATTTGGAAAGATGGTCATGGCTTGTGAGTACGTTGGGCGTACAAGTATGTATGTTGCACGTACAAGCCTTCCATGTTGTACGTTGAGCGTATAGGCTGGGTACGCCCCGCGTACTCGGCTGACTTGGGCTCTTCCTTTTTGGGCTTCGGTTTTGGGCTTGGTTGTGTTAGACCATTTTGGCCCATCCGGATTTTTATGGTTGGGTTGTTGTGACTTATTGGACCTTCTTGGGTGAAGGCCCACGAAAGGAATCGGGCCTAACTTGGAAAATTGGGCCATATTTGGGCCTTAGATGCTTATTTCTGATTATGGGCCCTTGGTCTTCTAGTTGGGCCAAGCTTGAGGAAGGGTAAGAAGGTTTTTTTACTCTAATTTGGACTCATAGTGTGAGTCAGCGGCTAGATGTTAATGGGTTGTTATTGTGGTATTTGATAGCGCGTGGATTTTAGTTGATCTGCAGTCAGAGATTATTCGTCGGATCAGATGTTGATGGGGGTGTTGTCTTAATATTGATAGTCTAGGGATTTGTCAGCCAGCAGCCAGGGATCGTCTGTGTGATTCGGCAGTGCGAGGTGAGTTTTCCTCACTGTACTTATTTGTCACCTAGCAATACATGCAAAATTGGAGATGCGTCTAATGGATGTAGTTACCACCTATTTATATGGTTCAGATGAGAATGTTATTTAAATGAAAATCCCATAAGGGTTTAAGGTTCCAGAAGCACAAACTTCTAATTTTCGAGAAGTATATCCGGTAAAATTAAATAAATCTTTGTATGGATTGAAACAATCTGGCTATATGTTGTCCAATTGTTCAAGTACATTTTTGTTGAAAAGGGACTACAAAAATGATCCAATAAGCCCATGTGTATTCATAAAAGATCTGGATCAGAATTTGTGATAATTGATGTTATAGTAGATGATTTGAACGTAATTGGAACTCCTAGAGAATTGGAAAATGCCACTTCTTGTTTGAAAGAAAATTTTGAAATGAATTATCTTGGTATGATGAAATTTTGTTTGGGTCTTCAAATTGAGCACACAAAAATGAACCTTTTGTACATTAATATCTAGAAAAGGTGCTTAAAAGGTTTTATATGAATAACTCACATCCATGAGTAACCCGATAGTGAAAAAGGACCAATTTCAGCATCATAATAATCATGAAAATCTTCTTGTTCCCGAAGAACCATATCTTAGTACTATTGGTGCACTAATATATCTTACTATTAATACAATACTTGATACTCCCTCCGTTCCAAAATTATAGTCCATCTTTCCTTTTTGGTTTGTCCCAAAATAATAGTCCACTTCTAAAAATAAATAACATTTTTACCAAAATACCCCCTCATTATTACTTAACCAACTAAGCATTTAATGGAATATTAAATACAAAGTAAGGACAAAACTGTCATTTTATTAAATAAAGTTAGTGGTAATTAATGTTTTTCTTAATATGTGTGTTTTTTGTCTGTGGACAATAATATTGGGACGGAGGGAGTATATCTTTTGTCGTAAACTTATTAGCAAGATATAGTTCTTGTCCAACAAGAAGACACTAGAATGGAGTCAAGCACATTTTTTGGTATCTTCATGGTATAGTGGATATGAATTTATACTAATCAAATTCATCAAATGCGAAGTTAATTGGTTATACAAATGTTGGATATTTATCTGATCCATATAAAGCTCGAACTCAAGCAGGTTATTTATTCAGTTATGGAGGTAAGAAAATTTCTTGACATTATGTTAAACAAACTTTAGTTGTTGCTTATTCTAACCATGCAGAGATTATAGCAATTCATAAGGCAAGTCATGAATGTATTTGGTTAAGAAAGTTAACTCAACACATTCGCAAGAATTGTGGTCTAACTTCTAACAGTGATGTTCCAACCAGGGGCAAATCTACAATACAAAAGGGTATGCAATTGAATACCCTTGACTTTTCACAAGAAGTACTAATTATTTATGTTTTAAAGAAAATTATATATACTAATTAACAGCTGCATACCCTTGTCAAAATACTTGCATACCCTGAAAATGAAAACAGGGGGTGAAGACTCGCCAGAAGCCCATAACACTTAAGAATTAATATAATTCAAATCCTTCTTTATCTTTAAAAAATTAATACGAAAAAGAACTTTGACCCAGATAAACCGGACACCATCTAACAAATCTTCTAAAAATTATAAAAGAAAATCAAAGTTAATCCTCAAAAATTCAACCATTTAAAAACTCAATCCTAGAAAAACATTGTGCGGCCATCATTCGGCATTCATAAATCACCGTTTGGTCCAATGATCAGCCTCATCGCAAGTTCCTCTCTATCCTCTCCCTCTCTCTATCTCTCTCTGTCACGCATCGGAATACCTCTGTACCGGATTTATGTCTCATCTGGTTCCTACATGTCCACCGGACTAGGGATGAGCATTTGGACCGGAGAAATGGTCGGAACCGGTACCGGAACTGGAACCCGATGGAACTGGTCGGGCCGGGACCGGGACAATATTCTTGTGGATTGTTGGAACCGGGAACCGGTAGGAACCAGACCCGGCGGAAAAAACCGGTAGAACAAGCAAAAACCGGAACCGTATGTTGCTATTTCTCGATGACCGGTTCCAACATTGAAGACACGGCAAGAATCGGTAGGAACCGGGAACCGGTAGAACCGGTGGGTTCGGTTCTTAATTTCGGCCGACTTCGGTTCTTGGGCGGGGTCCGCTTGGGGCCGGTTCCATCCGGGTCGGTTCCTCTGCTCATCCCTACACACCGGACTGTTCACTCCTCTCCGGCAGAAGTGCACTTCGTATTGGTGTGTGTCTCTCGATTCACTTTTATATATCTTGATTCAACAATAAAAGAAGTTTTTTAAAGTAGACATGTTTTCCTCTTGTTCTGCAGACTATTGTATTATATAGGAAATACTATTGTATTGTATAGGAAATAGGGTTATATAAAATTGAGACTTGTGACTAGAGTCTTTACCCTAGCATTACCCTAGGTACCCTGAATTACTTTTTTTTTTTAATCAAAAAACCCTTTGTAAATTTGTAGTTATGTCTTTTATAATGTTTAACAATATATAGTATTAGCAAACAAATATATAGTTCGGTAAATAAAATTACAAACAAAAAGAAAGAACATTGTATATTGTCTTCGTTATTTGACATTTTTGGAATAAAAATTTGAATCTTTTGAACAGTTAATGTTTTGTGACTTTACTATGTAAAAATTTAATTAATCATTTAAATTTATTGAATATTATCATTATACTGTAGCACCATTAAAAATATTTTTTCGATCGGTCATTGCATACCCTAGTTTTTTTTCTGGATCTACCACTGGTTTCAACCATACTATATGAAAGATAATACGACTTGTATAGCTTCATTCAATGAATGATTTATCAAAGGAGACAGAACCAAGCATATATCACCCAAGTTCTTTTTCACTTATGATCTTCAAAAAGAGTGTGACATCAACATCCAGAAAATTCAATCAAGTAACAACTTACTCGATTTGTTCACTAAAACACTTCCTACATCCAAATTTGAAAAGATGATACGAAACATTGTTATGCGGCGCTTCAAGGAAATCAAGTGATGTGCTGATCAGGGGGAGTTGGAAACATATTGTACCCTTTTCCTTAGCTATGTTTTTTCCCACTGGGTTTTCTTAGCAAGGTTTTTAACGAGGCAATTGTTTTTGATATCTATTATTAATCATGTACTCTTTTTCCTTAATAAATGGTTTTTCCCATGTACTACCTATGTCCCATATTTATTGTCCACTTTTTATTTTTAAAGTTTTTGTTCTTCAATTTTGACCTTAAATATTTTTGTTTTTGATATATAATACTTGATGTAAAAATATATCAATGGATTGTGTTTTAAATGTCTTTTCATTGTTATAACTTATAAGTTTAATCAAGTAATTTATAACACGAATAAAAATATTTAACATCAAATTAAATTGAAAAAAAAAACTTTAAAAGTCAAAAATTGACAATAAATATGAGAGGGACGAACTATAATTCTTTCCATAGATAATTGAATGTTGTCATTTCAAAATCTCGTTCGTAGACTTTTAAAATAAATGTAGACGGGTAGCATTTCAAAACTTATTAAAAATTTTAAGGTAGATTTAAAAAAAATGTAAAAAAACAAATCGGTGTCAACTAATACCGCGTAAATGTTCAACATGAAAGGCAAGTCTAAACCATGTAATGACTGTGACAACACCCCTGTATAAATACAATCACGAATCAAACTGGAAAAAAACTTAAGAAACCTATATTAATTTGAACATTCAGAGATCTTTAAAAATGAAGATCGCTTCGATTTTGGTTATAATTTTGATCGCGATGATGTTCTTGGCTATGACTTGTGCCGCACAAACGGCTGCTGAGTGCAAGGAAGAAAGAAGGCTTGCGGTCAACGCATGCAGAAACGTGTTGACCGGTAGTCTTCCATCGTCTGCTTGTTGCCAACGAGCTCGTGTTAGCCATGCTGCGTGCATATGCCCTGCTATCACCCCGAAAGTGGCTGCACTTGTTGATATAAATCGTTTTGTTAAGCTTGTTGAAGGTTGTGGACGTAGAGTCCCTCGTCACTACAAGTGTGGAAGTAATCTCTCTCTCTCTCTCTCTCTCTCTCTCTCTCTCTCTCTCTCTCTCTCTCTCTCTCTCTCTCTCTCTCTCTCTCTCTCTCATCTATTCGGTTTCTTTAAATGTGTTGAATCGTAATCGAGATGATAAGTCTTTATCAGGTCTAAAACTCAACAAAGAACACTCTCCCTTGAGACTGCATATGTTCATGATTCTGCTTTTGCATCGGATATGGAGTATTGGTTTTTCTGCTGTGTTGTTTTTTTAATGTGATAAATGTTTTGTCCTCATTATTCTTGAACGTAAACATGCATGTCATATGATCACGTAACCCATAATGTTTTCTGGATGTGTGATTGTTTGTGCCCTGCTTAAATAATTGATTATCTACAACGGTGTTTAATTTCTGTTTTTGGATATAGGTATCACAACACCATGAGAGAGATGATGAATATGGTCGAACAACATAATATTGAATGTCGTGTTTTTTTTTTATGTTGAAGCACATGTGCATAGGAAAGAAAGGGAGGGGTGTTTGAAATCCACATCTATGTATTAATATTCGAAGTTAATTGGTTTCTTTGTGTTTTTAAGGTATATTTATTTGAAAATGTAGTCGTTATGTTATTCACATTCATAAATATATGTTTGTAATAGAAGGCCAAAACTTATTTGGTCGCTGGTGTATTGGTGATTATACATTAATGTATTATGAGTGATAAATAAAAAAATATAATTGATAATCAAATTTCTCTAAATTTGGAGAACTTCATATATGCCCCTCTTAAACTTCAAAATATCATATTTGTCCGGCTTAATTTCTCAATATCATTTTATCATTCATAAACCTTCAAAATATCATATTTGCCCAAATCCTTTTTTATAATGTTTTTAATATTTTATAATCATTTCTTATACCTTAGAATTATTATAATAATTAAAAAAATGTAACCATATTATCCTTACGTCTATGTGAACTTCTAAATTGTTGGAATGTCGCCCTCTTGACAAACAAAAAGATTCATCTTCAACCCTCTCTATGGAATTTATATTTTGATTATTTAGTTTTGTTGTTGTTGATTATTATCATGTTGTAGATGAAGGATATTTTAGATATTACCATTGATATTTTGATGTTTAAAAAGTACATATACGATATTTTGATATTTAAAAATGGCATATATGATATTTTGATGTTTAAAAAGGACATATATGATATTTTGAAATTTTATGAAAGGTAGATATGATATTTAGAAATTTTATGAAGGATAAATATGATATTTTGATGTTTAAGAAGGGCATATATGAAATTCTCTCAATTTATTCTACAAATAATATCCCGATGTTTTTAAGAGCACAAAGAGTGGGAGCGGGATGGGCGACGTGGCCAAACATGGCGCAAATGGTACCGGCGGAACATCACCGGACCCATTCGGTACTCCCCCAATAGTATGTTTTAATTATATAATCAACACAATATATAAATTTGTCTATCATAAATAAGTTTAGAACATTAACAATATGAGTTTTTTCATATAAAAAAAAACTCTTTAGAAAAATAATACCCCCCCCCCCAACACACACACACAAATTTAATAAAAAAAATAAAAATGGTTTTAGCACCTTCTTTGAAAAATATGTGATGTATATCTTCTTACTTTTTGTTCATACAAATTATCCTATCCAATTAAATTGTGAAATGTATAACGTTTAATGCTTATTTAATGATATTTTAGTATACTAATGTGACACATGTCATCATTTAAATGGATAGGAGAATTGGTATGAATAAAAAATAAAAGGGTATTTTATTTCTCTTTTTTAAAACATTGGTACCAAAAAGCATCAAAAATATTTATAAGTGCTTTGATAAACACACAAACATGATCTCAAGGAAATTAAATATATGAAAGAAAAAAAATATATCGTGGTTCACTCGATCAGATAAATTTAGTTATATCCATACGCAAACGATATATAAATTTTACTGATAGCCGTCAAAACACACTCTTTCAGCTTAGAGTTACAATTATACATGTGCATCTATTTATAATAACAAAGTTTGACCTAAAATGGGTTATGGGTGGAAACCCACAAATGTCAGCATTAGAGCAGACCCAAGAAATGTAATCCATAGTTGCTTTGTCAGGATGCATAAACTGCTCTACCAGGATGCAACTGATGCAACTCGAGATACCACGGCTGCTATTTGATAAGCAACCAATCAAGACAATTGTCGAGACACCACAACCTTACCCTGCAACTGCTCTTTGCTACTCCACGGTTGCCCCCTCAGCTACTCCAGCAGCCTAATGCAACGACAATGAGGTCAAATAAAAGATCAAGCTCCACAACTCAACATATTTAATTTTTATGATCTAATTCTTTGGATCCTCAAAAGGATGCTTTCTTAAAACGAAATTTACTCCATAGTTATGAAATTTTCATATTTTAGACTAGAAATTCCGTTTAGTACGCAGTTACTGATGTACCTAAGAATAAACCAGTTATTTAATATCACTTATATAACATGTTTGAAGTCATATATGTATGTATTTTATCTATTAAAAAAAGGGAGAAAAAAAAAGATCGACATAGACCATATGACAAAAAAATTCAAAGATTCCAAGACCCCAATATTCAAACTCCACTGTTACCATAGGAGGACCATATTGTTTGCTCTCATCCTCATCACTGTTGACTTTTAAGGGAATAAATTGCGTGTATGCAACCGTCCATCTCTTACGCCTTGTTCCCCAGTTTTTTTGTAAATTCATCAAAGGAAAGGGAAGGAAAATTTTGACAGAAAGAAAGGGAGGTGAAGGAAAATATTCATTATTCCGTGTTTCCAAGTTCGAAGGTAATGAAAGGAAATTTTAAGTTTTTGTGTTCCCGAGTTAGGAGGAAAAAGAAAATAAAACTAAAAATTTTCCTTCCCCTCACTTTCTTCCCAAATCCGTCCAATTTGGGAGGAAATTTTGGAAGGAAAATATGACTCCAAAATCCTTCTCCTCCCCTCACTTTCCTTCTATTAATGAAACTCGGGAACACGATTTTCCTTCGACACCCCTCACTTTCCCTCCGTATCCTCCCAGTTCTCTCCTTAAGTGGAACTCGGGAACAAGGCGTTAAGGGGTGTTTGGATTGTTTTTTTAATTTAAGTTTTAAAGCAAAAGTGATTAAAAAGGTGTTTAGATTAGTTTTTATGATGATAAAAATCAATAAGTAATTAAGTTAAAAGATGTTTCATGTTTGGCTTAAATCTTTTTTTTTTGAAGCTATTATTGTTAAAAAAACAAACAAGATTTTCAAAAAGCCAAATTTTACATGTTTTTGAATCAAGTTTTTAAAGACTTTTTTAAGTTAATGAAACATTTTGAAAAATGTTTTTGAGATTGTCCGATATTTTTTTAATTTATTGATTTTTTAAAAAACCAATAAATCCATAAGTTGTTTCGGAAATCAATCTTAAACACCCCTTGACTATCACCATCATTAAAATAACTCCTCCCAATATAATATTACTAGGCGAATCCCCACGCGTTGCGTGAGAATAGAATTATATAGTTAAAATAATAAATTTTACCAAATTATTATTTAATATTTCTACTTTGAAACAAAATGTTAGTAGTAAAGCAAACATATAGTTAACATATTAGTTTTATTAAACATTATAGTTTAATTTTTAAGTCATTGTGAAATATACAATTATTTGATAATTTTATAAACCGTTTAAAATTGTGTAAATTATATATCAAATGTATAATAATATAACAGGTAACAAAACGTATGAACAAAAATATGAACTGTAACTTTTAGTAACATAAAAATAGAAAAACATCTATTATAACATTTGTATTAAAAAAGATATATATACAACGAATAATAAAAAATATGAAAAATAAACACTATAAACTTTTAATAATACAAAAACACTGAAACATCTATTATAACATTTATATTAACTTTTCATATTTAAATCACAAATCTCTTCAAAACATTAATGTTTTAATGAGAAAAACTTTACAACCTTATAAAATAAAAGAAAATAAAAAGTTATTAATGATTACTAATTAATAATTATAAGTTAAAAACTCCTGAGTTGTAACTAATAAATATACATAAATTAGAAAACTCTTGAGTTGTAGTGTGAGTTTCAAATAAATGCGGTACTTGGAAATGTATATTTATTATTATTATTATTATTATTATTATTTTATTATTATTATTATTATTATATTCGTCTAAATAATTGGTTTTGATACATCATTTTAATCCCTTCAATTATTAAACATAAAGATATTTAATTATAAATTTATAACATATATAGGTGCATATACATATTAAAAAAATCACATATAATATATATATTTTCGTAAATGTCATATAAAATTCTTGTCGTAGTAATATAGATAAATTACTTTCATATGAAGAACATATCATGATAAGTCTATCGTAGTTACATATCAAATGTTCAAAATTATGTTATCTTTTAAATATTGTCTTTTAAATATATTGTGTAGGATAACCCAACAAAAAAATAATAGAAAATAAACATTATCATAATAGAAACACTACAATCAAATAAATAAGAGCATTGGGTGGTTGAATATATAAATAAATATGTTACATAAACATACATTTAAATCAAAAGAAAAAACTAACATTCGTCAACTTTGCTCAAACAAAAAAACCTATATCCATTTTATGAATCTTCTTTCTTCATTTAACATCATTCAACCATAGAAACTTGATGACAATTCTTCACTAACCTGCAATCAAAATATTTTTCTTGAAAAAGAAGAATCATAAATATATTCCAAGCAAAACATTGATGTTTGGAGATTCACATTCAAGATTGATTAATACACACAAATCACATATAAAGATTAAATGAGAAACTGAATATAAAGAAAGAATAGAAAAGCTTCATTTGTTTTGGTTGAAATAAAAAAATCATATTACAATTACCATCGATGCGACATAACTCATTTCTTCACATCATCATATTTGGATCGTGAATGCTTCAACTATATGAAAACTTTTGAATAACAATATCTTCAAATCCTTCTTACATGTAAGATTTTATATATAACACAAAAGACACAAAAGATTGGCCTTTTTATAGTAAACTTTTCACTAAATGCTAATTAAACAGAATATAAGTTATAAAACTTTTGAGTGTTAAATCATAATTAAGAAAACTTTTAAGTTGCATTAGTTAAAAAATGGAGTTTCAAATGAATGTGGTTTGAGGAAGTTAAAAAGGGGGTTTCAAATGTATGAGATTCAAGAAAAAATGCTAGCTTTATAAGTATGTATGATATTTATATCACTTACCTACTCGGTAAAAAAATACCAAACATTTTGTTGTATTTATTTCTAAATTTAAATTTTTATTTTCTACATTTTAGAATATTTTATAAAGTGATATTTTTCTTTTCCTTTAGTTTTTAAAATATTATTTTAACCTCCTCAACTCTCAAGTTTATAAAATATCATTTTCATCCCTCACAACTTTCTTATTTATCCTCCGTAGTATTCATAATCATTTTTGTTACTAGTTTCCGTTCGTTTTTTACGTGCTTATTTTTATTTAATGTCGGTATAAATTCGAG